GTGTTTCTTGCTCAATTTTCCCGCTGTAATTTTGTTTATAATTTTGATTTAAGTTTTTTTTCCCTTTATTTTGTCTTTTATCGCTGATAAGTGCGAACAGTAAGCACTTCCCCGGCGTAGACGTGTATATACGTTTTTTATTTTTATTTTTTACTGAAAGTGTATTTTTCAGACATGGACGAATAAATATGTCCAAAACATAACGTTAAAAAACAAAAAAAACAAAAACAACTACAGACGTACTTAACTATATCGATCTTGATTCTTTTTATGCTCTTCTGAGCTTGAAACGAGTCTAATTGTCAACTCATATGTCTGTTCGAGGTATTAGCCACCATTAGGGTACTTCAAGGTACCTCAGTTTTTTTAGTTACTATATTAAAAAAATTAAAAAAATCGACTGAAAATGAAACTTTTTTTCTCCAAAATAATTGGTGAGGAAGGGGTTAACATATGCTACGTACAACAATGAGTATCGCTTGTGAACTTTGCATTCATAAGTATTATTTATAAATAACTCAACTTACTCGACCTACTTTTTCTTTTTTAAATTACACCTAGAAGCATCTGCCATTAAAAACTTTATATTTTTCTTCTTAGTTCAATTGCATATATGTAGTTTTGTGTTTATGTATAAAAATAAAAAAATCCGAAGGTGTGAAAGTTAATCTATCGGTTTACAGCAACATGAAAATACGCGGACCGGCTTCAAACTTTGATTGACGTATTTTGTGGCCATTTCGCACTAATAGCATTAGGAAAGGTTTCAATCAACCTTTCCTAATAGAGATTACTTTCTCCAGGTGGTAAAATGCAACCTAATACTATCTGTCGCGTGTTTCTTGGATATGAAGTCATGATTCATTTCCTTGACAAATACTGCGAAGTATCCAACGACCAAAGTCATGGGATAATAACGAAAGTCTGACACAAGGTTTCTTATATCGAACATCCAGTTCTACTTGAACTCATTGTCAATGGTTTACGAATGCAGCAATGTTGCTTATCTCGAAAGCGCTTGTGATGTCCAGTCTCTCTCACACGCTCTACCTGCTTATCATGCTTATTATTTGCTTATTGTGTTTTCATTTGTTAGGTTTAGTTTAGTCCTGGTAAAAGGCTACGACAAAGGAGCGCTTAGTAAGGATTAAACTGGCTATAGTTATGTGGCTGACTTGTTAGACATCGTGCGATGGTAGGTACCTGATGTGCCCTTTTAAAATTCACATTGCATCCGCTAAGTATTTCCCTGACTGCTCAGAGAGAGAGGGGGGAGGGGAGAGAGAGAGGAGACAAAGTGAAATAGGACGAAAAAACGAAAGAGAGAAAGAGAGGCGAGAGAGACAGCGAAAGAAAGGAGATACGGATAAAAAAAAAAAACGGAACGCGAGAGAAAGCGAGAAGAGAAAAGAGATTAAAAAAATTATTGGAAGAGAAAGAAGAAAAGAGTGAGTAGAAGAACGAGAGAAAAGGAGAGAGACAATATGAGAGAGAAAATGAGAAGAAGAAAGAGTGACAGAGAACGAGAGAAGAAGAGAGAATGAGTGAAAGAGAAAAATAAAGAGAGCGAAAGAAATGTAGAACGGGAGAGAAAGTGAGTGAAAGTGAGAGAGAGTGTGTGAACAAGAAAGAACGAGAAAGAATATAAGAGATAGATAGATAGATAGATAGAGTGAGAGAGAATATAAGAGTGAAAGCGAGAGAATGTAAGTATGAAATAAAGAGAGTATAAGAGTCAATAGGAGAAAGAAAGAGAAACACAAGAAAGTGACAGAAAGTGAGAGCGAAAGAGGGTGGCAGTTTTGTAACTTTTTCGATATTCACAATTAGAATCACATGACATTATGTATTCCAACTACCGACTTGTTTATTTTCTGATTCAATTGTGATTTAGCAAGACTGTCTTATGAGTTATGATATTCGACGGCATATGTGATCCCTACTTTTCCCTTCCAAAATATGGCTAAAAAACTATCACACAGATCTTGTATACAAAACTGAGGTCTCTAGCTAGCTGTTCACTCAAACGTAACGTTCCAGGCAACAGGTACTTGGACCAAGCCTAGCTCCACAATTCTGTAGTATTATTGAAGGTTATTATATGCAATCAAATACAATAGAAAAAGATAAAAGCTGTCTATCAAACCAGCATTTTATTTTCTCTATTAGATAACTTCCTAAATCGTTCATATAAAAAAACAAAAAATCGAGCCTGAAATATCCTTTTGTAACTTTAACATCTATCTTTTGGTAACATATATGTATTGACGAGTCTTCTATTTAATCAAGTTCCGTTGTATTCTTTTTTAATTTCCGTCAGTTCTTTAAAGCAAAAAAAATTTTTTTTTTTTTTAATTAAAAAAAAAAAAATTACAAATCAAAAAATTGAAATCTTTGCTGCAAATTCATAGAAACTCGTTCTTTGCACGAAAATGGCTGGCTTACAAAGTAACCGACATGAATAAACTTGCTTTATTTCCTCCTGATCTTGTAACTTCCGTCTCTGATAGAAAACGTGATTACGCATGCGCATGGTTTTATTTTTATAGTTTGTGGTTGCATATTTGAAATAGGATGCCAATTGGTGTTGGTTTGTGTGTTTTTGGCGGTCGTGCCTGTGCATTTGATGGTGGTGGAGGTGGTGGAAATGGAAGGAAGCTTATCAAATATTAAATAACATTGATTTGTTTTTTTTTTTTTTTTTTTTTTCATTACAAGCTTTTTATTTATTTATTCATTCATACTGGATAAAAGAAAGTAAAACCTCAAGAATCCCACTACTTCCTTGTTTTTTCTACTGCTGCATATTTGTCTATGTCTGATGAAATGAGGCGTTATGATTATTTACATTATTCCGACTGTTATCCTCATCTTCGTTGTCATATTCGCAACGTTTCGGCCGTTTTACGCACCGGCCTTCTTCAGGTGATTGAAAGAGGCATGGCATGTTGGACTAGAACAATCTATCACGGTGGACGAAATAAAGGGTTCGGTTCGAATATGGCAATGAAAATGAGGATAAAAGTCCGAGCAATGTAAATACTGCATATTTGTTATTAATCAGAAATCACTCATATTGAAACAACTATTTTTTTTTATATACACAAAATAGGGATTTTTTCCATCATCATGAAAATGTCTAATAAGCACACATAAAAAATATTTTTAGTGAGTATAAACAAAAAAGCGTATTTATGCGATTGCCTTTAAGTATGTGCTAAAGCAACTAATTTGGAACCTCACACTGAATATATATATATATATATATATATATATATATATATATATATATATATATATATATATATATAATGTGAAGCAGAAAGGCGTTGAGGAACTTGTTAAGCATCAGGCTTAAACCTCTGGTTGCATTTATGACAAAATATTGTTACTCTTTAAAATTCTTTCTTGACTTACATCTTCATATGTACTGTATTTTAAAAAAGTTTCGAGGGGTTTTATCTCTGCGTTTCCTTGTGTGCGCATGCGCCTTCGCATAATTTTTGTGACAGCCTGTATGAAACCGCCATTTTAGCTATTATTGATAGCTGCTATAGTGTAATGGCTTATCTGTCAGACAATTACTGTTATAGTGAGGTCGATCCAAATTCTTTTCTCTTCGACTATAGCCTAAGATAAACTGAGAAAATATTTGCCACATTACTTGACAAACAGACATTTATTAAATTTAACAAGGGAATATATAGGAGGAAAAGATTGCATTGGGTTAATCTCCCAAGGGGTAAAAGCCTATCTTCAAAATCCTGGCTTTTAACTAGGTTAGAACACTGATCGCTGGCACAAGTGGGGAATATTCTCAATCTCCTTTGTGGTTCTACAGAAGGATGCTGAGAATCCAATAGATCGAGTAACGACGAAGTTTTAAAGAAAACAGAAACAAAAAGGACACTTACACTTAGAATCAGAAAGAGACAGTTGACATTTCTAGGGTACATCATGAGGAAAAAGGCTTAGAAAATGTGACACTTACAGGATATATTGAAGGCAAGAGAGACAGGGGAAAGCAGCGAGTAAACTACCCAACGAATCTGTGTAAATGGTTGGCAGAACAGGGATTAAGAGAGATGGCAAAAATAAAAATTACTAAGTGCGACAAAGGACAGAAAATTGTGGAGAGTCATGACTGCCCACGTCTTGATGCAACACGACACATAGAAGAATGAAAATGTCGACTATTTCAATAAATTTCGTCTAATACCTGAGAAAAGAATTTAAGATTGGCAACTAGTTTTCATCGTTTTGTTGCTGAAATAGCTAAATGTAGTGATTTTTTCCAAGCTTAGATGCGGCAAAGGGCCGAAAGTATGGAGAACCCAGTGAGGATCGAACTCACTACTTCGTCGTAATATGTTCTAGCGAGACCGAGACAAGCTTGCTAACCATTACACCGCCTCGAGGTGACCAAATAGATAAATGTAACCGTAAGTTCTATTCAAATAGTTTCTTTACTCGCACATCCTATGGAACTCTTTTCGGTTTCTTGATTCCCTGGGACGTAAAATGATTTGAATTAAGCGCAAATCGTCATCTTCTGTCTTCCTGAAAGCTGTTATTTTATTGTCTGTTCACCTCACTAGCATATTCTCATTCTCTTTCACGCCTTGTAAGCCCTCGCGTCTTCGTGGCATTACCGCCTTGCTTGGGGTGAAATGATTAAACAGCTAGGATCTGCCATGACGCGTACACAATGGTCGAATCATCTCCGTTCCATTCGTATTTTTTTTTTAAATCGATTCACCCCAAGTAATACGATAATGCCCCTAAAACGCAAGGGGCTACTAGGAGTGAAAGAAAACAAGAAGACTTTAAAAGTAACCGGAAACTCAATCCTAAACCGGAAACTCAATCCTAAACCGGAAACCCAATCCTAAACAGCAAAGTAGGGATAAGAAGGAAGTTCCATTCAAAATGCTTCTTGCCGAGAACCGCTACTTTAAGGAACAGACTCCCGTGAGGATGCTTCCTAGATCACTACAGCTTCCGGCCATTTCACGTTGAAACATCGGTTCCCGTACGATCACCGAAGTTAAGCAATGTCGAGACTGGTTAGTACATAGATGAGTGACCGCTTGTGAATGCCGGGTGCTGTAAGCTTGGATTTGCAGGTGCTGTAATGGATAATGGCTCTGAATTGTTAATCGGAGAGCCGAGTTCTAATTCCAATTTGGGTTCGTTATATTCACTTACGCGCAAATACCCCTGGGAAAGTTATGAATCCATCTTTTCTACCCCCAGCTATAAACTAATTAGTAAGACTTGTACCACTAAAGCATAGAGGTTGATATGCCGCTAAACAAAATCAAACAACCAAACCGATTGCGTCCATACAACAACCTAGCCTCATTCAGTAACTCTCTATCTGAGTGGCTCTTGGGTCTTGCATTGGGTGTACATTTAGTAAAAAAAAGTATCTCAAACCCTATGAACAATGAAAAACTGAGGAACTTCGTAATATTATCAACCGAGAAAGATTACAATACTATTATTGAAATATTTGCACAAATTAAAATCAGGCAATTTTGTTTGGATTTACTCGCATTAAATGCGTTTTAATTTAATGTTTAATTTATATTTAATTTATTTAATTTATACTTAGTTGCATATTTAATTTTAATTTAATACTTAATATTTATTGATTTAATTGAATATTTAATCACATAATATAATGATATATAAAATATATAATATAATAATATAGATATAATATATATATATATATATATATATAAATAATATATATATATATATATATATATATATATATATATATATATATAAATATATATATGATATATATATATATAATAAATAATATATATATATATATATATATATATATATATATATATATATATATATATATATATATATATATATATATATATATATATATAAATATATATATATATATATATATATATATATATATATATATATATATATATATATATATATATATATATATAATAAATTTAATCACATAAATATTTAATCACATAAATATTGTCTTAAAATATAAACGGGTGCTAGCTGGTGATTTTGGTGGTGGTGGTGGAGGGGGTCAATGCAGGACGAAGAGAAGAGAGAACTAGGTATTTATTAAGTGCAATACTTGCTTTGCCTCATGGGCTGGGAACTTGTGTTACGCCAACAGAATATTGAATGAACAGAACATATACATGAGTTTAAATATTATCGTTTAATAATTTCAACGAGTCGGAAATATTCTCAAGATATCATCATAAAACAGCGAGCTACTCTTAAGGTACACAGTGGAACAAAGATTTGCTAGTCATCACCAAAGTAAATATGCAAGTAAAGGACATTTGCATAAGGTGATTTTTGCCATCTTGCGCAAGAATAATACACTATCCATTAGACGTGTTCGCAACACTATATATAACATCTTGACAACGACACAGGAAAGTTATGCAGGTTCTGTGACAAAGTACGTGGGTCTGCAGCAAGTCTGAAGAGTGCATAAATACCGAGAGTACATAAATACACGAAACCACACATTCGTCTGACATGTATATGCAGCATGTGATACATATAAGGAAATACCAAAGATCTGAAAAAACGCGGAGACAACAGAGAAAGCACATCTGACGAGCATTGAAGTCTTGGTACTAAAACACTAGCTGTGAATGGCGTGGTCATTAGCAAAATTTGAGAACTCGACAAGCAGTTTTTACTAGCAACAACGCAGCCGGTCACGAAACTAACAGAATTGCGGAGAAGACAAGAGAAAAAGGTAGAAGAAGATATTGTCGTTCAGACAGAACCAACCTAGAGCTTCCCTTGTCCTAAAAGCGAAGATATCTGCACCACACGCTTCCAATCGTTTGTATTATAAACTAACTAGTGCTACTTCCAAACAAGCATAGATATACCGAGTGTAACAGCAAAATTGTCCAAATCGTATAACAGCATAATTATCCATCCCACAAAATGTTTAATATCTAAAAAAAAATACAAAAAAACACTAAACTTGTTGAGTTTCTTTTTACAGGTTTTCAGATAAGACGTTTAGGCATCTGGACACTATTTTTCGTAAGAATCACAGAAAAAACCCTTTGAGTTATTCAGCTAAAAAGAGAACAGGTTAAAATTGTTTTGTGTCAGACCCACTGTCTTCCTAACTGAGCAATGGTGAGAGGAAAAGGATCATTCAGGCCTTCAGTAATGGTAAAATGGTAAGCACTGATTGTGTGGAGACATGGGATTAGACGATTAAATATATAACAAATAAATGCAATATGTTGTTTCAGAAGAGTAGAAAACAGGAATGAGTGGAAAGGTTGGAACTCTGCAAAGGACTGAGATTTTGTTATAGAAAACAATAATATATGTACAAATTGCAGAGAATTAAAAAAAAATTTGTGGTAATGGTGGAATGAACCGCTTCCATATAAGAAACGTTCGACATTTATTAACCAAACAGAATTACTGTCGGTTGAAATGTATAAAATCTTTTTCTTAAAACAGTTTCTCAAGTCCACTAAATGTTATAGGTCTTTCTAATACTCATAGGAGTTTCCTTCCATACCTTTTGTTTTTGGTAGTGTGTAAAGTTAACAGCTTGATTGTATCATTATTTTAAGTTACACATTTTTCTTGTTGCTGTTGGAAGTCTTCAAGTGATGTGTTTTTTGTTGCTATTTGGTAAAGTTTTCTTTGGATTATGTAGCACCAGATTAAAGAGTCTGACGAAAGACTGTCTTCTTTAAGACCTAAAGGATCCATTCGTTTGAAGCCATTTTTAATGATTGGTCTAGGAAAACGTTTGTATATAAATGAGTCTCGACATTTCTGAACGAGTTGAACGCTATGCAAAATTCACAAAGGCTCATTCAGTCCCGGTAAAGATTTATGGGGAACAAAAAGAAGAATTCTTTTCCAGACGGAAAATATCGTTGTCTCAAAAAATGAAAATGGAAAGAAAGTGAAAAACTGTAAAAAATAAATATCTGGACCCTGTGAGTGAATTGAAAAAAGAAAAAAAGAAAGAAAGAAAGAACGACACACAGAAAAGTAATAATTTTGCCCATTATTATTGTAAAGCGTTTTCGTTTGTATATTAATAAAAACATGAAACCGAATCTCTCAAACATAATATTACTGTTTGTTTCACTCCGGGCTGGCTTCGTCAATAATTGTCAGCCAGTGAGTGTTTGGCTTTGAAACCTTCACCGAAGATGGACTCTACATTCTCAAGTGTATGTATGAGATTCTTAACGCTGGGGTGGATGTTTATATATCTATTTATTCACGGTTCTTTTTCCATGAATGCACATCCTAGGCGAAGCTAGGTCGTTTACATGTGTTTACATGTCAAAGCAGCCATTAGCATCCTGCGTGTTGCGGATCTGTATTTATTGGCTAGGATGCCATCTTTTAGAACAACCAAGTGATGTACCTGTTTTCCTTGAGTTCAAATTCTAGCCCGACATCGTTAGAGCTGAGTCACACATTGGAGAACTTGGAAAAGTCAAGAATGGCTTTACAAAGGGTTTAGTAGAACTGGAAATACGAAGTGAATATTGAAAGCAACCAGACGACAGCCTTATAGAAATCAGCAAAGATACCGAGGAGAATGTTACTGCACGAGAAAACTTGTTGCCACTTGATCTCCAATAAGACTCATCAGATTAACTGTTATGAAGATTTTTAAATTAACGAAAATGAACGTTACTATAATGAAGTCCGGCTTCGTGGGTGAGATTCTCCGTTAGAGTGAGAAACCAAACGAGAGTTAAAACAGGATTTCAAATGCTGATTTTAAAGGCAGGCATGTAGACTCTTTTCATTTGAAACATTGGCACGACACAGATTTCTTACTCTCACCTAGCGCCCCGTTAAGCTAAACTTAAGAAATGCTGACATTTAACTAACAAAAGAAAAATTTCTTCCCAAAACTGTTTTCTTTTTATTCAAAGACGAAAATGTTAGGATTAAGGGTTTTAAAACTGTCAATTTTATTCAAAACCTTATTAATATTCTTCCTACGCGAAAAAAAAAATACGAATAATCGAAAAATAAAGTTTCGTTTTTCGCTTCTTTATTTAAGTAAACACTTTTACATAAGCTCCAAGCTAGTCATTTTTCATAATGGCTTCTAGAGTTATTTCCCTTTGATCAGAAGTAAAGGCCCAATATATATATGACGTCACCAGCAGTTACGTCCCTTGAAAATTCTTGCCTGTTTGTGCTTAATAAAAAAGTATAATTTTAAATAAATAATCAGTTATTTAACATTTATTATGAAAAGAGTAACAATTATTATTAAACAATTTGACTTTTTACTTTTTCTGTAGTTTTAAATTTGAAAAAATTCAAAACTCTTCATTTGGATATTTGAAATTTGTGTTTATGGTAATTTTGCTACTTTCGGTACAAAAAATTCAGTTGTCAGAACAAAATTTGGGTAACTTATTAATTTTAATAGTATTTTATAAAAACTTCTCTCAAACTGCTATTATTTGAAAATAAAGATGAAATAAATGGTTGACAATGCTCAATTTAGCAAGAAAGAATGACAATGCTTCTTAATATGTTTATATTACCAGGAATTTAGCACAATGGATCACAAACAGATTATATTATGACCTAGCAACCATTTTTTCTGCTTACAAAGGGAAGACTGCTTGAACATAATATATAGATACAGAAATTGTTGTCTAAATGTGCCCCTGTTGACCACTGGTTACTTCTTAAAGTTCTAGATAATAATTAAAGCGTATTTAAAATTAATGAAAGCTAACAAAATACGTGATTTTCTGGCTATTGAAGAGATTAGTAGTAGATTTTAAAATACATTAAACACGCCTCTTTGTGTGTTGGAACAATCAAGCAAGCATACTGAATAAGCAACAGAGCTAAAGAAAAAACGAAACAAGTGGGATTGAACAAAAGTTTTATTAGGTTGTGACACATGAAATAACGCACTTTATAGAAAATGAATAAAACTTTTCTGGGATATTAAATAATTTATTTAATTGAAATAGGTACCATGTTGAAATTATCTGATATTTTTTTTTAAATAGACTATATTTTTTTCTGATTTGCTAAATTATTTGACAACGTATAATT